TGAACAGGCATCTGACTACTCAAGAACCGTTCCACTGATTTCTTTAAATGTCGACTTTTACGGGATCTGTTTCCATCTACCTTTATTAAAGCACTCTTGTTTGACGTAATGTACAAATAGGTGCCCATTTTTGGTGTGTTTTTTCCCTCGAAAACTTCACTTTAGGGCAAATATTGTGAGACATTGAGGACAGCATTTTGGCCTTTAAAATTCTACAATTTTTGGGCTACGATGTTTATTTTTAAATTCTGTCATTTAATGGTACAAACGTCCCTGAAAATTTCAAGTCACATCGTGCGGAAAGACAATAAACAAGCAAACAGAAATACAATTCCAATGAAACTCAGTCGGTCAGTGAAGAAGTTGGCTTTGTTATCTCTCAGCCACTCAGCCAACGAACCTCGGTACAACGTCGTTAAACAAGCTCTCTTCATGCTGAGAGAGTCCGATCTTCCCGTCCACGCTCACATTTCCGAGAAACACAGTGTTTACGCCACTTTGTCCACAAAGGCCATCGTTTCTTAGGTACGGTGCCATTGTGAAGAGTGCTAATATGTTGTCTCCATTGTCAATAGCCACAACGACTCTAAAACCAAAAAATGAAGACAAGTCTTACAAGGAAATCACGTCTGGAATGCGCTTTTCTAATCCTCTTTTCGTATACATATCTTATATTTAACCCTATAAAAGATAAGAACATATAACACTAGCAGTAGAATTCGACCTGGGTATGCTGAGACGATTTCATGCCTAAAACGGAAATAATGTACACATCCAGACCAGAAACAATTCTCTTCATAAAACTGTATAAAGTTGTGTGAAGTACAATTTCACAATTTGTCCAGTTTTAGAAATAACATTGCAAATGTCTGAAAGTGCACGAAAACGTTCACATTTTAGAAACAAAATTGTCTGTTTACAATTGTGCAATAGTGCACAAAATAAATGCATGGAAATATTTCTATGGGCATTAGAGAAGACAATCTTTAACTTTAGCGTGTGTATAGCGTTAGATCAAAAATCCCTTGATGGCATTCGACCTTACCGTGCCCAGGCTCGGTCCCATAAACCTTGTAGAATACTGTTTAATGAGCCGTTGTCGCAGTCCCACACTAACACCAGTAGCCGTGCGTGGGCACTTCGGTTTTCAACCGGCGGAATGTATCCTACCTAGTGACAGACATTAGAATATGTAAGTGTACACGGAAAAAACGAATTAGCTGGGTAGGCTAATGTATTAGCTGGATTCGTGATATGTATTACTATAAGGTAGGCTAGCTAACTTTAGTTCTGGCGTCGTAAATTTACAAAATTTTTGTAAACTCGAATTATAATTTAAGTTGTAAAGTTAGAAGAGCACATTTTTTACTCGCCAATGCATTTTAAGTCGACACGCACTGCATGTATATTTACGATACAAATTGTAATTTTACAACTTGCGTGAAGGAAAAAGTTCCTGTAAACCTGCCTGCCATTTTTCACAGTGTACCGGCGGGCCAGTACTTAGGATGGCGAAAAGGCTACCTGCTACAGCTTATTTGACTACCGATCATGTGTCCAGCTAATCTTCTTTTGCTTGTTGTCCACTCTACGGAATAGCTAAGATATTGAAAGCAATAGGTGTTTACTTGACGCCGTACGCCCTGTGCCGGCCCTGCTAAAATGTAGCTGTACATTCCGTCTGCTATTTTAGTTCCACCTCTGCGCGGACACATTACGATCTTCTGGTGGCCATGGCGAGTGAGAAGAGTCTCGAACACATGAGCTGCAAAACAAAACCCTATAAGACTTAGCCAATGAGCATCCCGGTCCGAATGATCACTCATGGCCAGGTGGGGCTAGTGACCACGACCTTAGAGCATGTGGCTCAAATGCATGGGAAGGTCAGGATGAGGGTGAACTGAATATACAGAGAAGGGAGTAGATGTGAAGCCATGCACGGAAGGCTACACACAAAATTTTGACATTTTAGATAAAAATGACCCTGAAGACAACAACTGACCTATACTTGTAAACCACACACACTTTTTCATGACTTCTGCATTTATTGCTCAGAAGAGCGGTTTTTCACCCACTAACGTATTATAAATCAGCATACTTATATTGTTGTTATTAACTTCCAAATCGTTCCAAATATGTTAATTTGGATCTTTTCCTTAAACGCTATTAACATAAATGAGCATTGTGGCTTGAGTTACGTTATTCAGTCAAAATAAGGAATTTGATGTTTGCGTTCCCAGAAACCGGAATCTATATGTCAGATGATAAGATATTAATTTGGAAAATTTTAACGTTTTTAAATAATATACTAGCTTCATGTATGCCAGATCATGTCACGCGTAACAGGCTTCACGATATGTCACGCAACACTGTTCCGCTACAACGCGCCTCGCACCCCGTCTAGCTAGGCCAGGAGCCTCCTTACGTCTTTTTGATAAGAAGCCCTCGCTCGTTGCTTGACAGAGGACAAGTACCCGAGAAGACCCTTCGGGTATTAAGTACAGACTGGAGAAATTGTTCACAAAGTTGGCCAGCCGATGTGTTCGGTCGGCCGTGTCATTCGGTACTATAGCAGCGTCGCTTGTAACAAGCACCAGGACAAGTAGATGTATTGGTATCTTCTGTCCCATTGCGACATGAGAATGTGAGCGTAGACGGTAGAACACGATCTTGGTTCCTGCGGCAGAATGAAAAATGCTACTTATTTGACTGTCACCGCATCTCAGATACGTTTCCTCTTTCTCACGTTTCCTTCCTAGCTCGGGGCGCAGGGGATGGTCCGGTCACGGGCTGACGCGTCCTACTCGTGTTACGGGTGATCTAGTTCATGCGAACTTCTCAACGTTTTAACTCTTCCTTGAACTTCAACTACAACGCGTTATGGCGACTGACGTCAGGCGAACCCGCCCGCATCGAGCGAAGTAGCATACGCTACGAACACTGTAAAAAGTCAGTAGTAATTTTGTCTCAAATTGGGATAGTATTTTTTGTCTCCCACTCGGCAATCCCAATTTATCCTAATAATGGGTTGGTAAAAAGTAATTTATCTCCACACAACTACATTAATCTAAGAATGGTGAAACAAAATCAGCATTAGGGCAGGTAATTACGCGTTACACTCCCAAAGAGTAAATTTCGCCTATGTAAACCTGGGTGAAAAAAATGTTTTCCACACCCACGATTGTAAAATTACAAATTGAATTCACGGAGCACTCCCGAGGAAAGATACTAAGAGCCAGCGTGTCTGTAGTCGGGTAGGCGCGGTAGCGGCGTGGTTAAAGGCGCGGATTCGTAATCGGAAGGGCCGAAGTTCAACTCTCAGTAGGGTGACACCTTCATACAGTTCAGGTTCATACCCAAGGTGGAGATCATTATGTTTTAACCTCGTGGGTTAGTAAATACACTCTGCCATGAGATCAAAAATTGCACCCCTTGGGTTGTGAATTTTACGAACCCATGTTTGTAGTAAAATTACTATTGCATGGGTCGATAAAATTAATCACCCGATTTTCTTGAGTAAGCGTTATGGCACCCAAAAGGGTAAAATTACTCCAAAAATATTTTAGTCTTTTCGACGCGACGGACATCGCGTGCAGGACTCCCGCCTAGCGCACTCTGGAAACAGGTGTGAGACAGTCTAACACCAAATAGTGTGAGGAAAAATACCTCACACCAAACGGTGTGAGGCAAACATACCTCACACCAAATGGTGTGAGACTCGTTGTGCCTCACAGCAAATGGAGTGATACTTTCTCATACCAAATGGTGTGAGACACAGAGGGTCTCACACCATTTGGTGTGAGGCACAACTAGTCTCACACCATTTCGTGTGAGGTATGTTTGCCTCACACCGTTTGGTGTGAGGTATTTTGCCTAACACCATTTGGTGTTAGACTGTCTCACACCCGAGTTTCCAGAGCAATATATCAGCCTGCAGTTCGTTCTCTTTCTTTTCTCAACCCCCTGTGGGACGCCCCCACCCCCTCGAGGGGGGGGGGAAACGATCGTTTCACCGCGCCTGTGGTGTAGAGCAAGAACTCACTCTAGCATGTCTTTTTGAAAAAAAACTTGCCGTCCGGCAGGTTACGAAATAATGCTTGAAAAGCATAGGTTCAAAAGGCATTGCAAACGTTTTCCTTTGCTGCTGGCAAAGCACTTTGGAGCATTATTATGATTAAAACAAGTTATTCACAAGCCTGGACAAACATGTCCACTTAGATGCGTGAAGTCTCATTTCGTCAGGGCACTGACTTGCAACGAAGCGACATACCTACACCTACGCAAGAGAGACGTTCTATCAGTGAAGGGCAAAAATCAAGACAGTATATTCTGACAGAAAAAAAGTATCGCACAAAGTAACGTGTAAGTCATCATTAAGTTAAACCTTGTGAGGTTGACTTTAGCTATGGTTTTTCTGACGATACTTTTTTTTTGTCAGATTATACTTTTTATAGTTGAGTTCCATCCCCGTGACAATTTTCTTACCTGAGCAGCCACTGGCAAACATGCTGGGATAAAGTTTATGAGGTAAATTAGTGGAAACTCAGAAATTAGACTATTACAGAGAGAGCTAACTTTTAAACCGTTTAAGTCCAGAGGATGGGACAAAGTTTCTTAAAATCAGAATGTCAAACTGAATCAGGAAAAAAATGTTTCAACAAAATTTATTGCCGCGTCTTTTGAGTTGGATAGTTTTTTGTGTATATTTCACCAACCATTTGAGCCAAATTTTTTTCAATTTTTTTCTGATCATTTGTCATCATTTCAAGAAAGAAAAAAAGTATTTGGTCAAAATCAAAAATTGAGTGTCTTGATTTTTGCCCTTCACTGATAGAACGTCCCAAGAGCACTCCTAAGTTGGGTGTGCATATTAGAGTGGGTCGTAGGAAAAGGATTTTGGAAATTGAAAACGTAATAGTGCGGAAAAGTTGCCCTGTCCCATGACATATTCAACGCATTTTAATTTTTTGAGATCGGATAATATTTTTCGATCCCGCAGAGCGTTCAAAGTTTTGCATGGTTCTCTTATAGGGAAAGGGCTCAAAAAGTGAAATTTCTGATTTTTGGCTTTCCAGCAAACATTTTTCGAAAACGAATCTCAGAAATGCAATCTACGCGAAAAAACGCGTTTAGCGACGTGCCACACTTGAAATTTGAGTGAAGCGTTCTGAGTCATTCAGGTGCCACTTTAACTTAAAACCTACACAAAAATGGCTTTGCTGGCCTAAATTTGCACTTACGACCGACTAAACCCTTCATTCAAATTTCAAGTGTGGCACATCGCTAAACGCGTTTTTTCGCGTAGATTGCATTTTTGAGATTCGTTTTCGAAAAATGTTTGCTGGAAAGCCAAAAATCAGAAATTTCACTTTTTGAGCCCTTTCCCCATAAGAGAACCATGCAAAACTTTGAACGCTCTGCGGGATCGGAAAATATTATCCGATCTCAAAAAATTCAAATGCGTTGAATTTGTCATCGGTCAGGGCAACTTTTCCGCACTATTACGTTTTCAATTTCCAAAATCCTTTTCCTACGACCCGCTCTAGTGCATATGTCAGCAAAGCACAGATCCGTTAGTGTTCCTGGTTACTTCTCAGACACACCAGTAAAGATCGTCTCTTCGTAGGTACGCTTCTTCTCCAAGCTGTTCGTAAAGCATAAACTTCAAATAGGGCGCTAGGAAGCGTCTGCCTTTCCCACCCACTTGTTCCTAACCCTGGTAATACAACCTCAATATTGTTTCTGGTAGTCGTCATCGAGGCAGCCCGTGCGCGTGCATGCAACGCCGTTGACGAAGCAGGCGATTGCGTTAAGCGTTACCGTTCCACATCACCAACTGTTTTTGTTTGCCTTTTCCTGGCAACTGTGGCCCATATCGATCGGAATGTAAATGTTTTGCGAGTAGGTTATAACCTGTACAGAAAACGGAAACTTTGGGATGTCTCTAACCGAGACACTCCGGAGAGAGTGTTGAGGCTTCGTGCCCTGATGAGCCGACGGACAGAGCTCACGGACAGCGGCTACGGACTACATGAGGACAATTTGAGGACATGTCCACTGGTATGTCCATGAGTTGTCCGTGGCCCCAGTCCGTGGATTGAAACGTCCGTGGACTTGTCCGCAGCCGTCCGCAGTCACCCGAGATCCTATCCCGGGGTAAAATTCCGATGGCCTATCCTATAGGAACAGCTTTCCCATAGGCACCCATGGGGATCCCCATGAGACACCCATGGGGACCGTTCCGATGAAATTATGGCCTGTGGGAACCCATGGAGGAACCCGTGGGAACGTTCACATGGCCAGCTTTGTCCATGGGTGGCATCCCCATGGGAAATTGGCAATGGGAATCTTGCGTATGGGTAGATGTTCCTATGGGGAACGTGGCTATGGGAATCTTGTCTGTAAGTGTGAGTCTGAAATCAATGACTGAACAAGCAAGACTCTAGTGACATCTACCGCCGCGATACATGTTTAAGGGTGTCAGAATCCAGGCGGAGCCAAACCCGGGGTCCGCTTCAACGTAAGTCGAGCCGTTTTCAAGTTGTTAGAAAAATATGCTCAGATTTCAAAAACATTGAAATGGCCC